CATATATTTTTAGATTCTAGCATGATTTATATAAACAACTGTCAGTGCTCTTTTGCCGGTGTCTAGATTTTTATAGCGCTTAAATAATAAACTGTGATTCTTATCTACTGCTTTGAGAGTGTTACCGTTGCTGCCTTTTTTTCCACACCAGGTCAGACCATTCAGGGCATATCCCAACACAGTGTCCTCCAAAGTGACAAAACAATCTTTTCTCTTCTCAGTGAAACCATGGACCACAACCTTGGTTTTGCTCCAGAACATCATCTAACCCACAAACACAGATATTTATGTATTGTTAAACAGATCATGAATGATTGTGAGAGATGAGATGATTGAGATGGTGTAATCATTGATTATTACTTTGTTGCACTGAGGTTTGAAGGGGGCTGCGGCAATCAGAGGATCATAAGCTTGCACTGGAACGTTACATGGATCCTTGTTCACATAGGCCTGCTCAAATGCAACCCATAGCCTTTGACAGTCATATCTAAAAATAAATAAATAACGTTTTTTAATGTTTAGGTGTATTTTCTTTTAAAGAAATGCTAAATATGCAAAATATTGTATCGCGTTTACATAACTCTTATATATTTGTTGTTTATGGCAGTTTATGGCAGGGAAATTGCCATGGGGTTAGACTCTGGACACTGACTGTGCACTTCTTAATGTCATGTTTTTAGTGAAGCACTTTGTAACTTTTTTTCTTTTAAAGCAAAATTCAAATATCCCAGAAGGAAACAGGCAAAAACACCTGACAGATATGTTCATAGTTCACATCTCCGTCTAGGTACTATAGGTGCAGTGGTATACATCATTTTTGATACTAATGACATGAAAACCAGCTGAGCAGACATCAGCAGATCAATCACTGACTATAATACCAATCCTGCTGTTAAGCAAAGCAGCCTTGCCACTTCATGAGTTCAAATGCAGTTAGTGCTGTATTTGCCAAAAATGCTTAAACATGCAAAGATGCAAGTGCACATGTACACATTCATTAATTACTCATTCATCATTT